AAACTTACTTAATTGTGTATGGCAAATCGGTTTATTTACGAGGTTTATGCGGTTACGAGGCATTTACTTGTTTCCATGAATAACCATTGTAATTTTTTTTCTAATTCTAAAGAATTTTTTCTTTCATTTGACACCCATTTTGCTTTTCTATATTGAACTGCATTATGTAAATAATTTATTGAATTGTTGATAACTTTAAAAAATTTAAAAAAAGTCCTGACGTGAGAGAGAAAAACTAAACCCGCAGTTTTGCTATATTTGGCCCATACTTTGATGAGCATATTGATTGTTTCGTGTGTTTAGAAATTTTTATGTTTTTGTCGCACAGTGTTATCACTGATTGATATTAGCTTATGATTATGATGAATTAATTTGCAATATATTTACTCACAAGTACAGAGACGAGCAGTGCGATTTTCGCCATCACGAAGGCGGCGCCTGCGATCAGGATCACCTTGCCGAGGAACATTTGCGCGACCATTGCTATCATCGCCATGCCGCCCATCATAGCCATATTTTTGTCTTTGCCTTTCTTTTTACGTCCTTTAAGTGAATTTTTATTGAATAAATGCTCTTTTTCTTTAATATGCTTCTTTTTCTTATGTTTGTTTTTGTTTTTGTTTTTGCGTTTGTCTTTGTCTTTGTGTTTGTGTTCTCTTTGTCTTTGTCTTTGTGTTTGTGTTTGTCTTTGTCTTTTTTCTTTTTGTCTTTCTCATTGCAATTGTCCTTGTCTTTATCCTTTTTCTTCTTCTTTTTCGTGGTTTTCTTCTTTTTATTTTTGTCTTTCTTCTTTTTGTTCTTTTTCTTGTCCCTGTCCTTGTCGATTTCAATTTTATCCTTGTCATTTTGTAAGTTGTCATTACTATCACTACCACTAGCGGTCAATTTATTAACGAATTGCTCTAATTTATCATCTACAAGACCATTTAAAATTCGTTTCGTACCTTCCTCCGCTTGCGCCATCTCCGCTGATGTTAAAGCTTCGGCTGGCGTGCTACTTTCCAGTGTAAATCCATCGATGGCATCCGAAATTCCTACGCCAATTTTCTTTAATGCTTGCATTGAGCTCGGCAGCAGTAAACGTATTGAACGTGATTTAGCCAACTTGAATAAACTCGCCGCGATGCTGCCCGGCATTGGCTTATTGTCGTCCGACGACTGCAACGAGCG